TTTTTTGTAATTACTTCCTTTTTTAACAGCTAAAATGCGACGTCGGTTTAACAAGTCTGCCGCCGCAGTCCGGGCCAGAATGGCTCAAAAATGTAAAGATGAGCGTCGATTTGGACGTGTCTTGCCTTCAGGAGTAATAGCAACGAATTCCGACCGTTCGAATCCCGGTGTCGCTGCTTTGAGTGCCTCTGGTGTAGGCTCCAGGCAGTCTTCTACAGCAGGCCGCCGTAGAAGTGCAGCTTCTTTGACAACACCCCCTCCAATGGCAAAAATCCTCCGTCTTTCTATGACGACACCGACGACAAATCCACCTCCAACAACAGCTCAATCTATTCCACCACAACCACCACATCAACCGAACAGTTCTTCATCGGTACTTACCTCTTCTCCACCCGAAGTATATCCAACTTCAAATCAATCCGCAAACAATCCACAGTCGGCTTCTACGTCGGTTGTTCACGATCCACCAGTGATCCTCGCGTCAGCACCTGAAATGGCTAGTTGATCGATGGCATACCAAGGCAAAATAATCGATACATGGAGTTCCCCTAGTTTTCCTTTTCTATCACCACCTGCGATCACCGTATTGCTTTCAATACACCGGCCACACTTCCTCAACCGCCTTAACTATTCTTCTTACGTCTTCCTTCTTTCTGATACAAGAGACAGTTTTCTTATTCTTTATTCTATTCGGCGTTTCTGCACATTCCTTTGCACAAATTTTCGCTCTATCCCAAAGTGTGATGATGATGATGATGATGATATCGATGTTATTGATAATCGATAATGGGAGCTTTTTTTGCTTCTTCCGTCTTCCTCCATCCCCAACCCTTTCTGCCTTCCTTTTATACCTCTTAAGTGTTTTTACTACTATGTATGACGTATTTAATAATAATGTTGAAGCTGGACAGACGATGTGCGAAATGACGGTGAAATCATGAAATCGACTTAGGTTGTGTGTTTACCTACCGGCTGCCTTCTCCTTCTCAAAGTGTTCCCTCCTTTCAACCCTTTTCCGCCCTAATTTCCTGCACTTATGAGAACACACCTAACAGCAAACAAATGTCCACCTTTGGTCTTACTTTTCTTTAAGTCTTTTTGTGCTGATAATCGGTATTTTGTTGCTACAATCGACTACTCCAAAAATATGGAACAATGCACTGCAATTGTGTGTTTTTTTCTCTCTTCTCAGGTTGTTAGGGTCACAGTTCATTTTACATCTATTGGTCTTTCGCTAGTTAACAAGTTAGCTGAACAAACTCTTAATATAGTTGTTTTTCTTATTGGCTATAAAGAGTTTGCAAGCGTTACCTTGATTGGCCAATTAGGCTTGGTTTATCGATCGAAATTAGCCAAATGAAATCAGATTATGAATCAAAAATGCGATTGCGATAAGAATCGTCCAAATGGTCTCCAGTTGCTGAATCAGCTATAAGAAGGCCCCGGTGAGTCACTTCTTATTCGTGCACGCGCTGTTGTCGATTTACGTCAGTTATTTCGGATTGATTTGAAGTCGCATAGCGACTTTAATTCATTACGTTGCAACAGGAATATGTGGCCTACTGCACGTTAAGCAAGTCCGTACATGGGTGTATAAACGGACCATTAAATAAAAGTACTTGAACAGGCAGCTTAGTAGTTCAAAAATTCTAGCTAAAATACGGATAAAGCCTCCTCTCTTATCGCAAAGTGGTAGATCGGTAATTGGTAGCTAAAGTAGAGTATTTGAAAGGAGGGCTTTGAGGTGAATTGGTGCCATTTAAGAGAATCAGACTAACTGCCTCCTAACGTCTCACCAAAATGCTCGCGTGTGTACAAGTTTGGTGCGCTTGATTGATGGCAGTTTCTTACGTGGTGCACAGTTATTCGATGCACGCCAGCACATACTGTCGCCAAAGCTGCAGACGCGTTTTAGCCTGCGCAATCTAGTGAGCAAACTCGTGAAAATTCCACCAAAAAGTCTCGAGAGTGTTGAAGCCACTTTTCCACCAGTTTACCAGGCACATTATATTTTTAATACATTAACCAAATCTCCCGCGTAGTCACTCAGCTGCTAGCTAATTGAATCAATAAATTGCTTTAAAAGCGAGGAGACAGCCTAAGTTATTCTCATAACGATCGATTTTTTTTGCCTGTATAATTAGCTAACTCGGTTGACGTCTTTCCAAGTGTCAAAATTTTTGAAGAAGGAGCATGTTGTGCAATTGTGCAAGCATCGCGGTTTACCTGCCAACCAATCAGACAGCCGGGTACGGTCAAGTGTAACACGCCTTCTACTTTTCTAGTCGAACTAAATATACCACTTTTTTCTCCCCCTATTCCCACGAATTGTGACAAGTCACTTTTTTCTCTCTCTCTCGCTCTTTCGCTCTCTCCCTCTTGTCTAGATTGATACAAATCCCATCGGCAGAAAATGCCACGTTTTATTTTAGCAGTTTGTCAATTCATCATCAATCTGGGGACAATTGGGTCAATCAATAATCACGCTATGATTTAACTATTGGAAAACAGGAAATTGTGCTACTTATAGCTTTACTTACATGGGGGTTACAATGGGAGGAAGTGAATGTGCAACCTCTATGGTTTATTCACCTTGTTTTATAATAAATTACCTGTCCTAAAATGAATTTGTCCAAACGAGATGCCGTTATATAGTTCCCCTTGTTAAAGCACCGATTTTCATTAAATGTTGGCCAATTGGACGCGTGAGTGTGTTTTCTGGTTTTTGGCTAACTATTACTAAGGTGTTGACTTTGTCAATGTCACCCGAGACATAGACGCAACTTAGAGTGAGGTCAAAATGCTGTCTAAACCGGCAGTCAGACCATTTATGTCCAATATTTGCCAATTAAATACCAGAATGTGTCTCGGTAACCACCGAAGAAATTGACAAACATGGGTCTCCTCAGTTTAGTGACTCTTTATCAACTAAGAGATTGAGAGAGAGTTCAGTTTTCCAACAAGTGCAGAAGTATTCTTTAAGCTCAAATGCGACCACGTCCAACCGGACGAAGTTTTGATGAGAACGTCACGACGAAGAATAGAAGCGAACTACCTTTTCCTGTATTTTGGAATTCATGCTGCCTAAGTTTGACTTAATTCAAACAAAACGCAAGTTCAATTAGGAATTGAGCCATTTATTCCTATGCGTTACCCTTGAAAATGAATTGAAAAGGGTATGCAATACCCGTAAAATGATCAATGTCCATGAATTTTTTGCTGAATAGTTAGTTTCAAAAAGAAATTAACGGAAAGTGACTGTGTAACCACGTGAGATTCTGCTGTCTAAACAACAAGATTGAAGAAGCGACGGAAAATTTTTCAGGTTGAATTTTTACGAAAAAAGGTTCTAATGACTACTCACTTCTCCTCAAACCTCACTTGTTTGCTAGTTGTTAAATTTACTTTACGGAATTTATAACAAAATTATTGTATAACCTTTGAGACATCTTACAACCAATTTTTTGAAACCATATAAAACTATTTACGTGTTTAAGTCCTTTGTGAAGAAAAGCAGACAATAATACCAGCTTTCAACAAATGCACCATTCTAATAACTGTTATCATGCTTATATGAATATTTCATTGAACGTTGTTTATTGAATTAAATGTGGGTGCGATAGAGTAAGAGGGATCAAAATGAGTCTATTTCGTCTCGATCCAAATTTGGCAGCTCCAATACATGAATACGATGTCTAATCTCGGGTGAAATTAATGCAAGAAAGGAATTTCGCATTTACTAACCCGTTTACAGTCTTGAGATTGATTATAACCTTCATTTCCAGCCAATGTCCAACGCATATTTGTCGCCTTCAATTGCACTTCACTAAATTCGGATGGGCATATCCTATTTTTTTCTTCATATTTATATACAGTAATCAGAGCTCATTAATTCAATTAACTTTGTTTTATTTTTTGAACGTTCACGCATTAGTATGAAAGAATAGTTCAAAAAGGAATGCCGGATCGAATATGATGGAAAATCAATTGAGCATAGACGTTGGGGTAAAGCTGAGACGACTTAAAACAGCTTTAATATTTTTTTTTAATTACCAGCCGAATGGGAACAAAAAAGTGAAAATAGGTGCAACAAAATTAGTTGGGTGCAATAGTATATATCGCAAACTTTTCTTTCGAAAATCATCGACTCTTTTTTTACAAAGCCCCAACTAATTATTAGGAAATTGAGCATAAATAATGCCATAATGGTGCGAAAAATACTATTTTTTTACAAGTTCTCAACAAACTCAGGGTTGAAATCATGAGGACAGTTGCAGCAGTAGCGTTGTTGAGGTCACCCTACCTCTGAAGTTGACGCTGACTCATGCCTTGACCCTACAGTCCGTGCATCATAAATCTCTCTTCTTATTTTTTTTCTCTGAGTTCAACCATTCGATCTCAGCCTTCCCCCTTAAATCAATTTCATCATGTAAAAATGAAAAAAAATAAAAAAACGGTAAATATTGCCAAAAATATTACAATTTTCCAGATTCTAACTTGTAAGGCAATCCGCTGAGTACACCTTCAAGGACTAAGCTTTAAAAAATGGCATCAACATTAATGCAAAGATACACCAAAGTGTTAAACAAATCTGTCATTCTGCCTCTAAAATCGATAATTCCCACATCAAGGGAAGTTGGTCATTGGAAATTCAAGGCTAATTTTCGGTAGCTTTAAGTCTTTTGGGGCACACAGTTGGCTAAGCCACCTTTAAACAGAACGGCTTTACCAATGGTGACATTGAATTCAATGTCCGTCTATTATCGACAAACTTTCAAAATGACCTCTATTGTAGGCGAATAAATCCGTCTAGATTCCACCTTAAAGAACAAAAAAATGAATATCAAATGGCAGGCTTTATGATAGTTATCATTATTCCTTCACAGAGGTGAGGAATATATAAAGTGGGAAAACTGAAGAGGGGGAACAGAAGAGTGATTCATAGATATCAAGGAGTCAGACACAAAGGTAAAGAGCAGGGTATGGGGCAACTGTGGAAGTGATCGAATATGACACGCAGTCGGGTCATGATAATTTGAAGTCAGAGTACACATTGTCCAGGGAGCACCACGTGAAGGTAAGTCCACACGTATATATATAGAAATTCACAGATATTATTCGAATTTAATATCGCCATGATGTACGCCAGGTCTAAGATGCCAACCACTGGCCGAAAATTTGTCACACTCCCACATATATTAACACCAATGGTTCTTTGTGCCTGCCTTTGAACAAACCCCTTTCTCCACCCATTAACCATACCCCCAATGTGCGATAAAATCGTCTGTTTAGAACCGACATTTTCATGCTATCCGGTATCTAGTCTAATTTATGACTTGAAATGTCAATTTGAAAATTGTTGAAACCACGAACCCTGGGGAGGTGAATTTGTTTAGGCAATTCATTCACGTGAATAATGGACAGTAAAATGAGATAGATATCTATTTTCAGAAGAGTGGGGTATGCGATAGACTTACCTCTACGTGGTGCACCCTGGGCAACGTT